ATTTTCACTATGTCCTCAACACCAGAAGTAGAGAAACACCCAAAACCATATTTGAGCCTCAAAATCATGTTTCACCACCTTGTTTATGTATTCCTGCTGATTAGGTTCTTAAATGCTACTCTTCCATTTTGCAGTCACTTGTTAACAATTCTAGAAGTCACAGAAATAGTATGGATTTGGGAAATGATTTCATGGACAATTCTGAAGTGTTGAGAAATGGAAATTCTTATAAAAAGGTTATCTTTCTTTTTTGTTTTCTTCTTTGGAGATACTTCTTCACTGTTCAGTTGTAGCAAATTTCTTCATTGTCCTTTGTAATGTGACTTTTGAAATGGCAAGTTTTACCACAAAGTTCACATTGTAGATCATTGTTTGTATTTATGTATAGTTTATATTTCTAATTGGTTAGAAACAGCAGCCTCTTTTAGAAATTAAAATATTTTGAAATGAAGGATTTAGAGCTCAGAAGTGTCACATGAAACAAAAAATGAAGTTTGAGATTTTTTTAAAATCAAGAAAATAAAACTTAGTTTATAATTCAAAATGTTTATGTTACTTATTTTTTATGTCTAGTTTACTGACATAATTTGGTAATAAGGTTTAATTACATTTTGAATGTAACACTGTTAAAGGTTAAATGTATGAAAAGGGTTAATGCTAGTTGCAATGGAAATGTATAACACTTTACAATGATTTTAAATATGTATTGTATTCCAGTAATTATGATGATTAGTGGAACTTAGTGTCCACTGAGTTCTAAGGTTTCTCATTTGACTGTAAGTGGTGGTTACTAATTTTTTTCTTGATTTGATGAAGTGATAACATTTTTTTTTCTTTTATCAGACACCATATGCTAAAATAATCAGAATTTTTCAGTTTTTCAAATTATTTAATTTAAAAACCAAGAGTGCCAAAAAATACATATTTTGCCACAAAAAAATTTAATTAAAAAATGAAGACTATGCAATAATTATTGCTTTTCGCATTGAAGATACAAGTTATATTGTGGTAAAACTTGCCATTTTTTGTTTCATGTGACACTTTGTTTCAATATGTTTCATGTGACACTTCTGAGCTCTAAATCCTTCATTCCAAAATATTTTAATTTCTAAAAGAGGCTGCTGTTTCTAACAATTAGAAATATAAACTATACATAAATACAAGCAATGATCTACAATGTGAACCTTTTATCTCCTTTATTTACTGAGGTATAAATAAATTTGTAAAATCCACAAAAGAAGCTCTTCCCCTCTCTCTGATTTTTGAGAAGATTTGCTAGTCAACTTTACATGGCTAATGGACATG